AGGTGTTCTCTTACTATTTTTTTTTTTTTTGCTTATTTTAACTTTTATTTCTGGTCTGTCTTTTACAGTTATGTTTTTGGTGGGTTGAGCTATAGTTTCTTTTTGCGTGAAGACGGATGCAAAGAATGAGTTAAGCAGTTCTGCTTTCTCTCTGTTGCCCGTTACTTCCTTGCCATCTTCTCTCTTTAGTGGACCGACTGTTTCCTTGATTTTTTTCTTGTTAGAAACTTTTTTTATTATCTTTGACTTTTGTTGCAAGTCTTTCTTCGTTCTGAGCCTTTGCTATCCTGACTTCGTCTTTGCAAAGTCTGGCTATCTGCTGATATTCTGCCTTAGTTGTATGTCCTTCTTTCCGTTTTTTGTACTTGTCCTTTTTTTCTTTCAATTTGCCAGAGAGATCTTTGTGTAGCCATACTGGTTTCTTCTTGGATTTCCTGTTTTTCTTTCTCAGTGGTATTGTGCTGGTCTGGGCTCCTATGATCATACTTTTTAGAGTTTCCCAAGATTCTTGAGTGGTTTTCCCCTTTAGGATTTTCATCCATGGAATCTTTCCCAAGTTCTCTCTGATTTATTGAAATCAGCTCTTTTAAAATCCAAGACTCTGGTGTCATTATGTTCTGTTGCTTGTGTTTGTGTTATGTTGAATTCTAGTATGACATGGTCACTCTCACCCAAGGTTCCTGCAGTTTCAACTCCCTCTATCACTTCTTCTCTGTTTGTAAGAATTAAGTCCAATATGGCTGTCCCTCTAGTTTCACCCTCTACCTTTTGGACCACAAAGTTGTCAGCTAGGTTGGTTAGGAACTTATTTGATTTCTCACTTGCTGAGGAATTAGTTTTCCAATTGATATGAGGATAATTGAAGTCTCCCATTACTATTGTTGTGTGTTTCCTGCATATATTTGTTAGTTGGCTGGCAAAAAGGACGTTTATATTTTCTGCTTGATTGGGTGGCCTATAATATACACCTGTTATGACTCCCCTTCAAAATTCAAACGAACAAAACAGAAAGCAACCGTTTCACAATTAAATCAAACGGAAAGAAGTCTTAAAAGATAACAGCTGGCAGAAACCACAGCATAAATCTTTACTCTGTTCGGCAAACCAGTCCTGGCAATAAATCTCCAGTCTCAGAGCTTCTTGCTGTAACGTCCTCACTCAAATAGTCATTTTGTTCCTGGCAAAATGTACCAGTCCAGCTGTGTCCTTTTATACTCATTGAGGCAACGTGCTAATTTACTGACTCACTCTCCTCATTTGCTCCAGCTGATTTTACCTTCTCAACCGTCTTCTATTTTTTACATTTAACCACAAATTTTCCAAGTTCTCATCTCCACTAGAAGACTCTCTCAAAACTTCCCTGTAAGCCATTCCTGGCTGTTGATCAGATAAGGAACCAGAGGAGGTCAAAGGTCCTGACAATTCTAATACATCAGGTCTGTCATCCTTTGTCATGTCCATCTCCTAATCCTGGTTATCAGTCCAATCACTAAGCCATGCCGGCTCATATTTTTCTGCCATGACCTCCTCACTTGAACTCATATCAGTCACAGGAGCTGAATCCAAGCCCGGAGCCACAACATACACCTATGGCCATGTCATTCTTTTTTTCTTTTATATTGACCATATGCATTCTAGGAGGTTTTCATCTTTGGTTTCATGCATTTCTGTAGCAATATAGTGGTCCTTGGAGGGAACTTGGAGGTCTTCTAGTCCAACCCCCGGCTTAGGCAGGAAATCCTATACCATTTCAGACAAATCATCATCCAATCTCTTCTTAAAAACTTCCAGTGTTGGAGAATTCACAACTTCTGGAGGCAAGTTGTTCCACTGATTAATTATTCTAAATGTCAGGAAATTTCTCTTTAGTTCTAGGTTGCTTCTCTCCTTGATTAATTTCCATCCATTGCTTCTTGTCCTGCCTTTTGGTGCTTTGGAGAATAGGTTGACTCCCTCTTCTTTGTGGCAGCCCCTGAGATATCGAAACACTGCTATCATGTCAACCCTAGTCCTTTTTTTCATTAAACTAGACATACCAAGTTTCAGCCATCATTCTTTCTATGTTTTAGCCTCTAGTCCCCTAATCATCTTTGTTACTCTTCTCTGCACGCTTTCTAGAGTCTCAACATCTTTTTTATATTGTGGCAATCAAAACTGAATGCAGTATTCCAAGTGTGGCCTTACCAAGGCATTATAAAATGGTATTAACCCTTGATCTTGATTCTATCCCTGTTTATGTAGCCTAGAACTGTGTATACTGTACCTGTACATTTTGTTTTTCTTGCCTAAATGAAGAACCTTACTTTTTTCACCACTGAATTTCATTTTGTTAGATAGCGCCCACTGTTCCAAGTCTGTCATGATCCTTCTGTATCTTGAATCACAAACTTGAAGTAAATATTTCAGTTGGGTTTGGAAATGCACCTGCTGCTCAGCTCGCCTCTAAATTTACTCTTCCACTTCAGGCTATCAAGAGCAACTGAAGTACAAGCATCGTGATGGTTCTTACAGCACTTTTGGAGAATCTTACTGTAAGGAAGGGAACACTTGGTAAGATTTCTTTGTTCTTAAGGTCACGTTTCTCAAACTTTCTACAATGATGGACTAACCAAATCAACATTCAAACAATTCAGGAGCCATAAAGGAGAACATTTGTAGCTGGGGATTGAAATGAGGGGTCCTTGGTGCTCTCTGAGCTTGGCTGTTTTCTTGCGGACATTTCATTACCCTAACTAGGTCATATCATCAGTGTTAGTAAGGAGTGCAGTTTGCTGTCCGTTTATATTCTGGTGTCTTGCCTGTCTGTGTGGGTGGGGATGGTCCTAGAGATTCTTTGGTTGAGCTGTTTACTTGGCCAAGTCCAAAAATACCAGGGAATTTCTAGAAGCCTGGCACTCTGACAAATGGGCCATTAACAGACACATAGACATTAGCAACATCTATAGATTATGCAAAAGAGACAATCAATCAGCCCCAAAGCTTGGTAGCAACTCTCCACCAGTAATCAGCACTCAGATCAGCATAGATTAACTCCAAAGTCAACCTCATACCAACAATCAAGTAAACAATACCCCAAACAATAAACTGTCAAAGAACCATAAGTAAACAGCCCAACCAAAGAATCCCTTAAAACCACCCACACCCACAAGTCACCAAAATATAAGGTTGGTTCCCTTTAGTGTTTGGATGGGAAGCCACTAGGAAATCCCATGGCTTTAGGCTAAACTTGGATGTTGAAACAGCATCCCAGAAGAAGAAAATGGGAAGACAGTGCCATATTGCTGCCAAGAACATCACACAGGCATATTCATGTGATCCCCAAGAGACACTTCCCCAATTTATTGAGGGATGTTTTTAAAAAGGGGAGGATGCAATTTATACAGCAGGGAAATGGACTATTCCTCCTTACCAAGGATCCAGCACATGTGCAGGATTGAAGAGAAACACGGTATAAGCATATCAAGCGGGGGAATACTCGGGAATGGTTTTTTAAAAAGTGAAGATAATTGCCTATACCTGTGCAACCACCATATTGCTGGTGAAAAGGGGGGCTTTGACTGCCCAGTTATAGCTGTCCTCCTTTGTTGATACCTTCTTTCGATGGGTTCTTCAATCCCAAGATGGCTGGAGATCGTAGGAACTTGGGAACTAGAAAAAGAAAAATGAAGTTCTCCTGTGCTCTGTGCTGTCTTATAGGCTGACAGCTTTTGTGCTGAAATCTTTTGCTCGGGCAAGATCCATAATCTTTGTGGAAGACAAGCACATCAACGACGCTCAGAATACACTGATACAGCAGCAGGAGAATGATGGATGCTTTCGGAGCACTGGGTCTCTTTTTAACAATAACCTCAAGGTACAAGAGGAGGGTGAAAGAAAACAGAGACGTGTCTTTGGAAATGAGAGTAGGGTATATTGGGATTATAGGTAGTCCTCGATTTATGACAATTGGGGACACAATTTGGGACTCTAAATGATATAGTTGCTATGCAAGTCATCACGTGGCCAACCTGATTTTATGACTGTTTTTATGGCACTTGTTAAATGAATCACCATGGTTGTTAAGTGAATCTGGTTTCCCCAATTCACCTTTTTTGTCCAAAACTGGCCAGGAAGGTTGCAGATTATGATCACAACAGGACTATGCAACTGTCATAAATGCAAGCCAGTTGCCAAGTGCCCAAATTGTGTTCATGAGTGGTGTGAGAGTCTTACTTTTGAGGATGTATTGAAAGCTGGTTTATTCCAAGCCTGTTGTAACTTTGGACTGTCATGAAACAAATTGAGCTCAAGAAGGAATGTGAATTGAAGATACAGGCAGATTGAATTGGTTTGGCCACATAGAGAATGACTGGGAATTACTCTGGATTTCTAATCCGGAAGAAAATATGTGTTGTCTTTCTGTTAATGAACAAGGACAACATTGACAAAACAGAAAGACTCATGAATATTCAGCAGTCAGGATTTAACGTTTTACATGAAAAACTGACACAGTATCTTCAGAAGTGCCCAAGGGTGCTTTCTCAGGAGGCAACTGAACTTTCTTCTTTTTGTTTGAAGACAAAGACATTTAGCTATGCATTTTGGGATGAACATCCTTCGAATAGTGTGGGAGTATGAACGGATTTCCAGAAAAATTGCAGAATACAGGAAACATTTGTGCTTCAATTTGAGATGCAGACAGCACAGACTCATCCTCAATAGCCTGCACCTGCCTTCAGCAGAAAAGAAACACAGGGCAAACAACATCCTGCAGCTAAGAAAGCTCCATACACATTTGTACTATTCAGGTGACCCTGATGACACAGATAAACCTCCTAGTGGCCTCGATGACTCACTCAGGGATGGGCTTCCATTAATTTAACAACCGTTTCTCTGCCCAGTTGCTGAGTGGGCATGTCCATGGTGGGCATAGCCACCATGGTGTCTGCCTTGGAAGCCATATTTTACTTAGATATTTACTTAGCCATATTTACTTCTTCAATAAATTCTTATGAAATAAGGAGTTTCATTGGAACACTGACATCTGAGAGCAAAAACGGGCCATGGGGGTGGGCATTTTCACCCTCCTTGGGCTCTGGAGGCCTGTTTCTGGCCTTCTGGATGTTCCAGGAGGCCCATTTTCCACCCTTCCCAGGCTCAGGAGGCTTTCCTCGAGCCTCCAGGAGGGCGAAAATGGCCTCCTTGGGCTTCCGAGGTTCGTTTTTTGCTCTCCCTGAGCCTCCACATGGTCCCTGCACTTAACTACCATGTTTCTCCAACAATACACTCCCCCAATAGGAAGACCCAGCATGTTTTCTAGGCATAAAATGAAATTAAGCCCCTCCCCCCACATTTAGGCCTAGTTTAAAACATGCGAAATTGGGAGGGGAAGGCGGGGGGGGGGAACTTGCCATTAGGAGTGCCCCGCGGGCAGCTACACCTCACCATCAGCTGCTCCTAACAGCCAATCATGGTGGAGCACGGAGGGCTCCCTTACCCCTCCCTTACCCGGGTCAGCAAACAGGCGGCATCAGCATGGATGTCCAGCAGCGTTTCAGCCGCTTCTCAGTCCTCCATAGCTTCCACAGTTCCCACCAGTGCTGGCGCCTCTCTCGCCAGCACTGTCTCCAACAATAGCATCTGAGTCACCTCCGCTTTTCCCCCGTCCCCATAACAACAGGAAAAATAAAAAAGATTTTGAGGTACCTGGAAGCACTGTGCGCTGCATTTTGGTTTAATCTCCAGCCTCAGGCTCTGCAAGTTTGCAAAAGTCCCAGTGCGCAGCAGAGCCCGAAGCTGGAGCACCAAAGGTAGCAGCAGCAGAGATGCTCACTCGTCTCTTCTCATGCTCACCCAGCTGCTCAGGATTAAACCAAAATGCAGCACGCGGCGCTCCCAGGTACCTCAAAATGGTTTTTTTCCTGTTGTTACGGGACGAGGGGGAAAGGGGGGCCGACTCAGATACTGTTGTTGGAGACAGCGCTGGTGCGTGGGGGGTGGAAGAAATTAATTCACCCCCCAAAATATGTCCTAGCCGTTTTTTCGGGGCTCAAAAAAAAAATAAGGGCCGGCCTTATTTTGTGAGAAACACGGTACAATCTAAAAATGAACCACATGGGGACTCCTGGGAAGGGAGGGGCGGAGTAGGTAGGGCCCACCAGGTGTGGCATATGCCGGTTCATCAAACTGGCCATAAAATTAACAACCAGTTTGCCTGAACCCGTGCGAATCAGTAGCAGCCCACCCCTGGACTCACTAAAAGAATTCAAATGACCAGCTGTCTATAAATCCTTCCATTCCCCACCATCCAGTCAGAGCCAAGGAAGCTTCCTGCATGAGAAGCGAAACATCTACAAAAGAAAAGACAGGAAAGTCTAGTTGCCTCCTGAAAAAGCACCACTGTATTGCTCAGTTCCCACAACTCCATGTTTTCCTGTGAGGGAGATATAATACAAATTTGAAAAGATTGGATGGACGATAAAAGATAGTGGAAGTTCTTTGTATAATTGTGCTGCTGATATATCTCTCTCTCCTGCAGCGGGGAGCTGATGACAAGACCATTCTTTCAACTTACATCACCATTGCTTTGCTGGAAGTGCCGCTACCTCCCACTGTAAGTGTGCAAAGTGCCACCAGTAAACGAGCAGTGAGGAAACCCATGTTCAAGTTCCCACTTGGTCATGGAGTTCACAATCATTAGTCTAATGAAATAGACCACATCTGACCAGCTTCGTGGCACATGCAAAGTCATAGTCTGGTGAACCCAAAATGTAATTGTACAAGCTGAATAAGTCCAATTACCTCTTCCTTATCCCTCCTCTTCTCTAATCAGTTCTGTCCTTTTCTCTCTCCAATCAATTAAGAGGCACGGTGGCTCAGTGGCTTAATGTCAGAGATGGTCTCAATTCCGGTGGTTTGAGCTGAGGCACTATGTGGCAGGATGAGCTCCTGTCACTTGCTTTAGCTTCTGTCACCTAACAATTCAAAAGCATGTTTTATACAAGTAAATAGATAGGTACTACTTTGGTGAGGAGGCAAACTGGTGCTCTGTGCAGGCAATCAGATTCCTGATAGCTCTAAACCTTTTCAGTTTTGGTGCCAATTTGCGAGGCAGCTCTGGGAAGGGAGGGGGCCTTGGGTGATGCTGCAGGAAGAACCACTCACCTTTCTCTTTGGTACGAAGTCAGCTCACCCTCCTGTGGTGCACCTTGGGAAGCACACAAGTGTGTCCAAGAACAGGGCTGTACCTTGGCAAGTCAAACTACTACTCTGCAATAATATTGTGGTCTCCTGGCTACTGTAACAATGCCAATAAGACAATCAATTCTCCCCTAACTTGTTTCTTCAGATTTGGCTTCTAATGGCCAGCTCTCTGACTCTTGGCAGCTGACTCCACCAAAGTAATTCTTCCAAGCGAGGTGTTCACAGTCTTCTTTAGCAAAACTTATTGAAAGGAGAGGGAAAGGGTGTTGACAACATCAACAGCTTTCACTTTAGGACCATGTTGTCTTTCAACAAATTAGGGTGAAGACTTTTTGACTTGCTTTCTAAGGACTTTTATGTGAACTGGAAAGAAGCTTCTTTTTGCAAATAACAGAAGCACCATTGTCAATCCTGATTTGCCCTGCTTCTCTTCCTCTCATAATTGACCCACCAGCATTCCTATCTTGGACCTCACCTAGGGAGGAATTGCTAAGCCTTGTTCCAAAAACACAGGAGCACGTAGGAAGAGCAAGTAGCTGATAGTGGCTCAGGCAGCAGAAATACCAAGACCAAGAGCTGACATTTCTGTGCTCTTCGTTTATCCTGAGCTCCTGAGTCCTTTCTTCTCCTTGGAGGAAGAAAATAACAACTGGCTTGCATCTGTTAGACCATCAGCTTGCTTGTTGGTGTATTGTTGTGAAGACTGTTGAACAACTTAAATGAATAATAAAGCCAATTTGATCAGAGGGCTTTTTCAAGTTCCTGAGCTTCTTCACAATCTCCTCTTCAGGAACCTTCCTCCTCCTCTTCCTCCTCCATCATTTCAAGTGTCAAAGGAGATACAAAGTTCTGGTTCTTGCATTTTTGGTGGCCTAAATCACTGTTGTTTGATGCTATTGTTGTGTGACTTTGATGTTGTCTGTCCATCTTCTTCTGGGTCTGCCTCATATTCTTTGGCTTTCTCTTGTTGTATATGCTTCTATGGTTTAGATAGAATCTCAAGACATTCTCTCTAAATGATCACTTAACTTGCTAATTTTGCATATAGTTTAACATTGGATCGATTCCATTTCTTTCTCTTGCGATCTCATTTTTTAAATTGTATCCCTTCTGATCACTTTCTTCAAAGGTTTAATTTCCGTGATGATTAACTTTCGCTTATGCTTTATGACAAATGACCAGGACCCTGGTTAATATAGGGTGGAGATAAATATGCTTTCTATACTGCTATATTGACTTCCATTAAACGTTTTCTCCTCTGCAGCATCCTGTGGTGCGAAATGCTTTAGTTTGCCTGGAGAAGGTGACTGAAGCCAAAGAGATCCACATTTATCTCTGGGCTCTGTTAGCATATGCTTTTGCTTTGGCGGGGAAAGAGGAGAAGAGGCAAGAAATGTTGGACTCCCTTCTAAAAGTAGCTGTGGAGGACGGTGAGAAATGAGCTCTTTGTTATGAAAAGCGGGTACCCACCGAAGAAATTGGAAATGTGCAACAAACTTTATTGGCATGCGAAGAAAAATGTTCACTGGTCTCCCCAGTCCAGCCTATAACCCCAAGTTTTTTTTCATACAGGATTATATTTTATTGATTAAATATATTTGCTGCCCATCTCATTATATGAGGATGGAAGCATAATTCCATGAATAATTTATTAATGATCACTGGAAAGAAATAAGTGGGCAGGTGAGCCAGAGAAGATATGCCTTCTGGCCATCATGGAACAAATCTGTCGATCACATTATAATCGTATTAACATTCATCATCTTCTAACCCTTTATCATGATGGTAATGGGGTGGCTTATTGGCCTGAGGGTCATTGAAATCTGTTTACAGGTAGCCTCAATGTATGACTGCAATTGAGCCCAGAGTCATGATTATAAGTCATTGCAGTCACACATTGAGGCATCAGGTGACTGGATTCAAAGTTATGATCATTTTGTTATGACAGTCATTAAGTAAACATGGCAGTTGTTAAGAGAATCTATTTTCTAGTTTTTTGCTAGCAACTGGAAGTAAAAATGCTAGTAACTAACCAAAGCCATAATGAATCATGCTCTCACATGACTGCAGGATGCTGCAAACTGTCATAAAGATGAGTCGGTTGCCAAGCACCCAAAATGTGATCAGGTGACCATGGAGGTGAGAGTGGGGAATAGGTAGCCCTTGACTTACAACAGTTTGCTTAGTATCTACAATAGAATAACAAAATTGGAAGGGTCTAGTCCAACCCCCTCCTTAGGCAAGAAACCCTACCCCATTTCAGACAAATGGTGGTCCTATCTCTTTTTAAAAATTTCCAGTGTTGGGGAAGCCACAACTTCTGGAGGCAAGTTGTTCCACTGATTAATTGTTCTCATGGTCAGGACACTTCTCCGTAGTTCTAGGTTGCTTCTCTCCTTGATTAGTTTCTATCCTTTGCTTCTTGTCTTGCCCTCAGGTGCTTTGGAGAATAGCTTGACTCTTCCTCTACTTTGGGGCAGCCCCTGAGATATTAGAACACTGCTATCATGTCACCCCTAGTCCTTCTTTTCATTAAACTGGACATACCCAATTCCAGCAACCGTTCTTTATATGTTTTAGCTTTCGGTGACCACTGGAAGTTACAACAGCACTGGAAAGAGTGACTTATGGACATTTTTCACACTTATGACCATTGCAACATCCCCATGGGCACGTGAGTTACATTTGGATGCTGGTCAGCTGACTCACGCTTATGATGGTTGCAGTGACCTGGGGTCATGGGATCCCCTTTTGCGACCTTCTGACCAGCAAAATCAATGGGGAAACCAGATTCACTTAACAACCCTGTTACTAATGTAACAGCTGCAGTAATACAGTGAACAATTGTGGCAAGGAAAGTGATAAAATGAGACAAAACTGACTGAGCAAATTTCTCACTTAGCAACATAAATTTTGGGCTCAATTGTGGTCGTACGTTGACTATTGTAACTCCCAAAATAGGTCATAACTAGCTCTGGGGAGATCCATCATAACTTTGAACAAGTAACCAGTTGTGCACTGAGGTCCACCTGGAATGTGCTTCTCTTGTTGCCCAGCTGCATAGGGCTTGATACCAGGGAGGCCAAATGTTTTTGTACAGATACCGGTTGAAACTTGATATATCTCTGATGGTGCATGGATTGTGTGTGGAATCCAAAGTTAACTTTTCCTTGTCTCTTTGAAGAGGATGGCTCCATCCACTGGGAGAGGTCCCGGAAGCGAAAGCAGAGGTCTGATTTTCCACATTCTTTGCGTGGTACCTCTGTTGAGGTAGAGCTGACTTCCTACGTGCTCCTTGCTTTGCTGACCAAAAACACGTCCCTGTCCCCGGAAGAATTCAAGACAGCAGTTGCCATCGTCAAATGGTTGACCAAACAACAGAATTCCAATGGAAGATACTTTTCTACACAGGTATGTTTGCTCCTCACAAATTCTCAAAAGGATGTAGGAAGAAGCAATTGGAAACAAACCTGATGTGATATGATATGCCTTGGTATGGCCTCCAGATGTGTTGAATCTCAGCTCCCAGGATGACCAGCTGAGGTGTGTCATTCAATACAAATAATTTCCTAACAGTGAGGACATTGAAGCAGTGGAACAGCTTCTCTTCAGAAGTTGTGGGTGTTAAGTTCGGGAGGACGGCGTTCAGAGACGAGAGACTTGGGTTCGGTAACAACAGCTCTTTATTAGTAGGCTAAATCAGACTGAGCAAGATAGCAGCACCGGCAGCTCTTTTATAGAGCTTTGCCGAGGCTAGGCAGCCAATGACGCTGCTTTGAGCCTCCCGCGCTTGGATTTAACCAATCGCGGCAGACTCTTAGCGAGCCAATCACAACCGTCCAGGCTGGCCAATCAGGTAGCAGTTCAAACGGACCAATGGAAATGCAGGGTTTCAAGCCTGCTAATACGGAACAGTGGGTGCTCCCTCACTGGAGGTTTTTAAGAAGAGACTGGACAGCCACTTTTCTGAAATGATATAGGTTCTCCTGCTTGAGCAGGGGCTGGACTAAAAGACCTCCAAGGTCCCTTCCAGCATCTCATCTCATCTCATTCAATCCATTCCATTCTTTTGCTTTCTCTTGCAGGCTACGGTGGTGGCTCTCCAGGCCCTCTCCCAATACGAGACACTTACTTATTCCAAGGATGGCATCTATGCCACTGTGACCTTGAGTTCAGGAGATGCTGTCCTGACAAAATTCCATGTGGAGAGCAAAAACTCTCTGCTGCTCCAGTGCCAGGATCTGCCCTATGTGCCAGGGAACTACAAGGCTGAGGTGACCGGTTGCATTTTTTTGCAGGTGAGCGCTCTAGTGAGAGAAGAGACCAGTGTCACTGCCTAGTGATGATCTCTTTTGGGTTCCCAGTGGCCTTATGGAAATGCAAGTTGAGAAGAAAAGAGAGTCAGCCAGCTAAATAAGGGATGGAGAATGTCTTTGAGAACATAAGAGCAGCCAGACCAGATTAGGCCATTTAAGTCCAGCATTTTGCTTCTCACAGTGGCCGGCCATGAGAAGCAGGAGGCAGAGCCCATAATTCTCCCACAACTTGACACACAGGGACCTGCTGTCCTGATTTCAGTAAGGACATGGAACCTTGAGAGACCTGTATTCTGTGGATGCATCCAATCCTGCTTTAGAAGCCATTCAGTTCATGAAGGAATGAATTCCATAGGTCATTTATGCAAGATAAAGAGACCTGATAAGGAAGGGAGGGAGGGAGAAAAGCACTGGGGAAGAAAAATGGTGAGAGACAAGTGTTTTAGAGACGCCATCTTCTGACGAGGTTGGAATGGTTTACACTAGCCAAGCAAGACCCCCGAACCCAGGGTCCTTGAGGAGTTGCTAGCAACTAAATTGTAAATGAAGCACTCGTTCCAGATTTCCTTTTTCTATTTGGAGTACTGCAATACGCTCTACATGGGGCTGCCCTTGAGGACCATTTGGAAGCTACAACTATCCAGAATGCCGCAGTGTATGCAGTGATGGGTGCTCTTAGATTTTCCCATTTAATATCTCTGTTGTGAAGCTTCACTCACTCTCCACTCCTTCCAGGTGGAATTTAAGGTGCTGTTTGTTTGTTTGTTTATATTTGATATTAGTTAACTGCCCCTCTCCTCAGAGAAGGCTCTGGGTAATGTGCAATTTAATTTTGTTCCCAGAAAGGGAACAAAAAGCAAACAGCACCCAGATGAGCATAAATGAACCCCAAGATTAATATCAGCCCAACAGTCAAGAAGTAAATATCCCAATCAAGGAACTGCCAAAAAAGTTAACGGTGAACAGCCCAACCAAAGAACTCCCAACTCCACTCTGACAGGGTGAATAGAAACTGAGAGAAACCCCCACTGCTTACTAGCACTGATGATTTATTTAGCTTGGGGAATGAAATGTCTGCAAGAAAAAAACCAAGCTCAGAGAGCAGCAAGGAATACTCCTCAGTACAATTTAATCAATAAAATTAAACATTAACATCAGAATAATTTAGGATAAAAATTTTTAAATCATAGAAAAACATTATAAACATTTCAAAAGATGAAAAGGATTATTATCTTTAAATCTCTACGTGGCACTTGTGGGACTTCACCTCCCTAAGGACATCTACTTGTCCTGCCAGGTCAGATAAGATGAACATGCTTCTAGTCCCTTTTCTTAGACTTTGCCAATTTATGGGGTCTAGGAAGTGTGTCTGTTCTGTGGCAGTTTCTGTCCAATGGAGCATTCTTCTCCCAGAAAATTGGCAGGCCTCTACCCTTGTACCCTTCTGAAAAGCACTGAAGACCTGGGTTTTCTCCAAAACATTGGGAGAGAATGAGGTAAACAAAAGGATTAATAATTGACTGGAAATTTAGCTCTGGTGCTAGGTTTGTAATGTTTATGGTTTTAATAGGTATGTGTATTATATTGTTTTACATTGTCATTTTAATTGTTGGTTGGGAGCTGCTTGTAGTTTGATGGAAGATGGGCAATTATAGAAATATTTAAATACATAATTTATACAAAATAGTGTAACACAAAATAAGAAGAAAAAGGAAAATAAATCAAAGAGAAAGCTAAAAGTGCAAGAAAAAAGAAGTAACAGAAAAATAGAAAGTAGTAGCTTGTGAACTTCTTTACAGCAGTTAAAAGTAAAATCATAAATATACCTCTTACTCCATGGTTACAACATAACTCCTTTTTATCATCTATCGTGTCTAAACATCAAAACACTATAAATTATGTTCCTTTTCTCCTATTTGTAAAATAATAAAGGGGGGATACAAATAAAGGAGCATGATGGCTCAGTGGTTAAAGATGTTGAGCTTGTCAGCTGGAAAGCTGATGGCCTGGGTTCAAGAACTGAGTGCAACGTGATGGGGTGAGTTCCCATTCTTGCCTCAGCTTCTGCCCACCTAGAAGTTCAAAAGCATGCAGATGCAAGTAGATAAATAGGTACCATTTCGGTGGGAATGTAACAGTGTTCTGTGTATAGTCATGCTGGCCACATGACCACCGAAGTGTCTGGACAATTCTGAGTCCCTTAGCTAGGAAAAGGAGATAAGCACCCCCTCACAAGAGTTGAACACGACTGGAAAGGGGAAACCTTTACCTTTACAAATAAAATAAAATAATAAAAGAAATAAATAGGAGTCCATTAGGAGTTTCTGGTCAGCAATAAACATAGATATTTGTCTTTTCTCTGTCAGATAAGTCAATTTGGTCATCTCAGTGAATTCCCTCTTTTTCACCAACTGTTCCTCTATTGTGGGGGTGCTGAATCTTTCCATTTTTGTGCATACATTAATCTCACTGCAGTTACCATGTACAACAACAAAGTTCCATGACTTTTTTTCCCAACTGTTTGTTCATCGAATCCTCAAAGAAAAGCCTCTGGTCTCAATTGTATTTTAATCTTTAAATCCTCTAGATCAGTGTGTCTGTTTGAATCCAGATTTTTCTCACTCTTTTACATATCCCACTTGTTTTAAATCTCCAAATTCCTCTGTCACGGGAGTGTTGAACATTCCCAAATGATGGCCTTTCCATTCCAGACTGCCTTGAAATACAATGTCCCTTTGGAGCAAGAAGATGCACCATTTAGGCTGGATGTGCACACCGTTCCTGAGACTTGCACAGGAAACCAAGCTCATGTCACTTTTGACATTGCCATGAATGTCAGGTAATCTCTTTCTTGGATGGATGTTGAGCCTTGCTTTCTTGAACAGATACAGGCCCTTCTCCTTCAGGGATGGACCATTGTATGAGGGCCCAAAGGCTGCTACTCAACTCCCCCACTTTCTGAAAGGCCATGGTTCCACATTCCAGAAGCTCCATTTAATGGCAACATTGGATGGAGGCCCTGAGGGCACGGCCAAATTTTTATGAACCTGCATGCAGCATTTTGCTTCAAGCTGTGTATTTCTTACTTCAAAAAGAGTCACATGTCTTCTCTCCTTTCTTGGTTTCTCAGTTACACTGGCCAACGTCTAGTTTCCAATATGGTAATTGTCCAGATTAAGATGCTGTCCGGATACGTCCCGGTGAAATCCAGTGTAAAAAAGGTATTTTTTTAGCCCAGGTTGCCTTTTCCACTAAAGCTTCAGTGCTGTATTTCTTTATGGAGGTAATTCTCGACCTATGACTGCAATCAACCTTGGAATTATGGTCGCAAGTTGTGCTGGTCACTAAACAGGACAACATTTGACTGCATCTAATTTTACAACCATTTTTCTTTCTTTTTTATATACATTATTTATTGTTTTATCATAAAAAGATAAAATACAAAACAGAAAAGTAAACAAACCAAAACAGAAGCACACATTCAACACTAATAACAAAATAGTGTACAAAAAAAGATGAAAAAGTGATCAAATAAATTTAACATTTAACATGTAGGATCTACTTTAGCTGGGCACTGAAGAAAAAGAAGTAAATTATCCCCTTTTACATATATGTGCGTATATATGTACAGTATATGTATAAATATGTATCTTTCAACAACCTTTTTTTTTCTGATGAGCATTTAGTGCATTATTGTCTGCAATTTGAGTTTTGGTGGAAATTGGAAGTAAATGATGGTTTCTGGTAAAAAACATTGAAAATCGTGGTCACATAACTGTGGGATACTTCAAAGAACCAGAAAGGCAGGTGGTTGCGAAACACCTAAAATGTAATCACATGACCATAGGTGGAGGGCAATCAGGTAGAGTGTCCTGAGGAGATCTGTCAAAATGTTGAATGGTTCCTAAGCAACTGATTGTACATTGAGAACTACCTGTAATAAGAAATGGAGATTAATAATGCTAAAACAGATGTGATGAATATTGATATTTTTTCCAATGAAAATAGCAGTTGCCATTCTTTGTCCCGATATGAAATATTGCACCTATACATGCAACCCAAAGTTAGCCACAACTTTGTGGTGGATTCTTTACTGAGTGGGAGGTTTAACTTGGGTGACTTACAAGATCACTTCTAACTCTGTTTCTAATGGCCACCTAGTTCAACAGTATGACTATGAATGCTACTAAAGCTCTTTCCATTTTTCAAATGTTTTCACCCTGAAGCTGGAAAGGCTAGGTCAGATCCAGAAGAGTGAAGTGAACATCAATCATGTCCTGCTATACTTGAATGAGGTGAGTAAGGATAAGGAAAGGAGCCCAAATGGGGGACATGATCATTCAATCAAGGGGATAAAACCCAGGGCAGGACCCCTTCTTTTCTCCTTGTCCTTATTTTTCTTGGAAGCAAGGAGTTACAAGCTTATTTAGGGGCTGAGTTTTTTTCAAGTAGCCAACACAATGTGCCACTCTTCTTACTTCTGGCCAATGACAATGTCTAGTCTCTACACAAAGATGTATGCTCTGGGGCAGGTATATTTTCCTAAGTCAATGTTCGTCAACCTTGGTGATTTCAAGTTGTATGGACTTCAAACCCCACAATTTCTCAGCCAGTAAGGTTGACAAACTCTGTTTTATGTGAACCTACGGCATCTCTCTCATGCGTCATGATGGTGTTTAGTTCACTATAACAGGGGGTCAAACTCAAGGCTCAGATATAGCTCACGGGGTACTTAGATCTGGCCTGCGGGGCCGCCCTGGAAAAAGCAAAGGACCAACCCATGGTGCCTCTGCCTGCGAAAAAAAGAGCTCAGGAGGGCTGCACACATCCCTCCCAAGCTCCATTTTTGTTGGCAGAGGGTTGCAGGAGGCTGTCACAGCCAAAAAGGGAGTTTGGATGCCCGTTTTCACTGGCAGAACACTCAGGCCACCACAGATGCTCCCAACATGAATGACATCGAACTGGCCATGCCAACCCTGGCCACACCCACCCTACCCCCTGAGGTCAAACACAACCCTGGTGCTGCCCTCAATGAAATCGAGTTTGACACCCCTGCACTACAACATGAGAATATTTCTACTGGAATTCTCCCAATATTAAATAGTAGTATCTTCTTAGCCAAAGGATGTTCCAATGACTTTCATTTGGGTTCCTGTAGTAAGCTGGTGATGGGCTGGGTGACTTCAAAGCTCTCTTCTAGCTTCAGGATTGTTTTGCCTTTAATCTATTTAGGGAGAAAAAGAGATCCAACAGTTTTAGGACACAAAGAAAAAGGAAGCTTGAAAGCTCCAGATAGATTGGATTTTACAATGCCCATCCTTCCCCTTACAGTATATTTTAGGCCTTTTCCTTTCAGCTCAAGAATGTTGAAAGAGATTGGCGGTCTTCCCA